TGACCTTCCCCTGGACCCAAGGGTGTGCCATGCAAATTTTGGCTGCTTTAGCTCTTACAGGGACTGAATGCATAGAGAACAAACATACAAACAAACATACAAACTTTCTTCTTTATATATATAGATAGATACAGTATAAAAAAATAAACAACTTTGTAGTACCATTGCTATTTTATTCATATCATGCGGATAACTGGTTGGCCGATAGTATCGATGATGCGATTGAACCTGGTCGTGAAAAGCACCATTAGTATAATGCTTCTCATAATGTAAACAAACATCCAATATTGATGACTATACAATGCTATCGACACATGACAATACTCATGATAAACAACATAGTTCAATAAATGATATTGAATTAATGGATATTGATGTAATAGGTGGTGAAAACATAGAAAAATCATGTTCTTCAACGATATTAAATGATGATACACCAGATGATAACACAACTACTTATTTACCATTATGTGAAGAAGAAAACGATAGTGATATTGACTATGATATATTAGATGCCTATGATTCATTTATTAACTTAGATTTGAATGATAATAGTGAAAATAGACCACAACAACATCATAATGATGATGAAGAACGATTACAGTCATATACAAACATAAAGACATATGAAGTATATCAACATCTGTTATACCTACTACATGATTCACAAGTGAATAAATTTCAGTCACAAAGATTTTTATCTTTTATTTAAAAGTATTTTACCAACATCAAATCAGCTACCAAAAACAATGAAAGAATTTTTATCAAGACTTGATATAACCAACCATTTTGATAATCGATGTATTTGTTTATTATGTGGAAGAGAATTAGATCTAAGAAGCACAAAATGTTTATATTGTCCAGAATTTGAGAAAAAACATGCTATGATACACATTTTGCAACAATATTAACATCTATTATAACTAGATTATTAAAAGATATTCGAATATACAAAGAAAAAATTCATAATAACAATAATGAAGCATATGATATACCATTTGCACGTGCATATCAAAGTTTATTAAGAAAATATAATAAACGTGATTTTATTAGTTTATTGTTCCATTTAGATGGAATTGGTTTGTGTAAATCAACAAGATTAAAGATGTGGCTATTTAGTTCATCTGTTACAGAATTATTGCCCGAGTTCTTTTCCACTTAGTTTGTTCTACGTTTTTTTGTCTTTCTCACTCAAGCATTCCTTTTTGAAAATCAAAAATAACGTGTCTCGTACACGTTGAAAAAGAAGTATTCTACTTGTTCTGCAAACGTTTTTCAATGGAATCATTGAAAATGCGAAATGAAGATTGTGGTAGTTTCGTGATTCGACAAAAAGGGAAGACAGCCGAGATATGTAAAATAAAACCTCTACGTAACTTGTCATTTCAGATTTAAATTAGGAAAAAACTTGATTTTTCATGCTCAGTTTCTATGAAAAATCAGCAAAAAATAGTTTGGAGAGATAGAAATAATGACAAACGTTAAAAGTCAAAAGAATTGAAATTTTTCGCAGGGAAATGGTTTTGTAAAGAGTAAAGTTGACCTATTCTACATACAATCGGTATCATTCGACGTCTTACGACAAGACAATGCATTTTTCAGACGCATAAAATCTGAAATAAAATTGTCTTAATAGTGCATAAAAATACTAAAAATTCTTTGCACGCAGGATGTCGAGTCTTCAAATGCTAAATTTATATGAACCTTCATCTACTTTTATAAAAACAGGTCACGGAGCAGAAAGACACATGTATAATAAAATGTTTTTTTCTCACAGATATAAATCGGATTACTCAGATTATTATTTAAAATATATCAAGTTGTAGCTGAAGAATTTCTCTACAAAACTGTGTGCTCGACGAGGTTTCGTGATGTAGGTGTCAACAATGTGATCGATTGAACACTAAAAGGTTTTCGACCAAAAAGCTTGTTCTAACTCAGCAACCATTCTTAATGGTGGCAGCTAAAAACATTATATTCGTGATTAGCACAATTTCGTTTACTGTTGACGATATGTTTCATTTAACTCTCATAGTGACACGTCGGATGTTCCCTTGTGATTAATGTCAGAAGTCAATGTGTTCTCATAAGTCGGTCAACGTTACGAGAAATATATCAATTTGTTGGTCATTGTGGCTTTATTTATTATTTAGTTCTACTTTTATGGAATGGTTAAAATAGACAGTTAATAAATATTTATATTGTTTTTTAGAGAAAGAAAATGTTTAAACAAATGGATACGATGCCATTGTAGCAATACCACATTGATTTCGCTCATTTCTGGTCATCCAGATATATCCATCATCACCCCAACCTTCACCCCATAAGATCATTCATATAGAATATCTGCGGCAGTTTACTTCAGCCTTCTTTCCTGTCCAAGATTGTGGCTGGACTAAACTCCGCATAACAGAGGATCATCCCCTATTAGAAGACCACTGCAGTCAATTTTTTCCTGAGATCCCTTTCACAGTTTTTCGCTTAAAACCAATTTGAGTTGCTTGCTAAAATAGAAGATGATGGTTATCTCCTACTATGGGTAGGTTTAAAAGGATTTCTTTTCTTATTCGTTGTGTAGTGATAGGATGAACTCATAAAAGACAGTAAGTATACTTCGCAATTTTAAACTGAATGCAGAGAACTTACACAGATTTCTTCCATGACCGTCATCGAACGCAAATTTACGAATATACTCTTTGTTGGCAGATACAAACAAAACATAGCCTGACTGAAAAAAGATAACAGCAGTGAAAAAACACAGACATTTATGGAAACCCACGAACGTACTGAAAGGTCTGACTTATCTGTATCCTCTCTTCCTTTTCTTCTGTACAGCCTAAATGGATGCTCCTCATGAATTTTTAACAATATAGTACGGTGTTCCATGTTTTCCGCTAGTTACATCATAACCAACAGCAAGTACACCATGATCAAGATCAGTTGATGAGCACATCGGTTCATCATAAACACCAGATGAATAAAACTGAAATGAATCCTGTGAGGCATCGATAGCAACTGCAATTGGACCAACTGTTGCGATTGCATTTTGCAAATCTGTTTCATTTCCTTGTTTGACGAAGGCGTAACCCTATTGATAAGAGACATAAAAAAATATGAGTGTACAGGATATCTTATCGCACTTACAACGTCAGTTGCTCCAATATTTTCTGATTTAAAACGACATTTTCTATCCTAAAAGACAAATTTTTACTTTTAAAATAGAGAATAGACTTGATTTTTTACCACAGCCTCATAGGGATAACTTTTTTCTGTATCGATTCCATTATTTTCTTTAATGTACTCAAAAGCTGCAATCATTAATCCTCCGTTGCATCCCATATTGCCAAATTTATCAGAACAGTCTAGTAAATTTTGTTCTGATAATGACACAAGTTCATTATATTTTCTGAAGTGTTGTCCTTCCAATGATCCGGTGGCAGAGAATGCCCAACAAGAACCACATTGACCTTGATCTTTCACTTCAGTTACATACCCTTGTTTTCGCCAGTCTAAGAAACTTTTTATCTATAATGTTGTGATAACAATTCTGTTTCTGAGAGAATACTAACCAACTGATACTGGTAAATCCGTATATGATGGTGCCATAAATTCATGTTGATCAAATTCAGTTGCTTGTGAAGCAATATTTATTTTTAAACCATTCATTTGTTTAACAAATTCTCTATGCGTCTAAAACATCAAAAGAAGAAAAGGTGAACGTCATAATTGTCTCGCGTTCATGTATATACATACCATATCACCATATTTATTCATTTTCATCGTGTAAGTATGTATACCTAGATCCGCTTCTAAGTTGTGTTTACGAATTTTAGCAACATTAGCTTCCCAAACATCTCGACTGTATAAATTTATCACAAGAATTTTAGAAAAAATTCAATTATGTTTCGCTATCCATACCGATATGTTTCATCTTCATATGATTTGTATTCTTTTGCATATACATTTTTGAATAGATTCCACGATTCATCGAGAATTTTATCATTTGCTGGTGCACAAAATGTACCAGTAATAAATATTATACATAATATAACTAACACTTGCATTGTTAGGGTTCTTTCTAAAGCAAAATTTTGTTAAAGAAAGGTAACTCTTATCAATTTACCTTTCCAAGTAGAAATTATAAAACGTTTTTCGGTGTATCCACCACTTATATATATATTCCATTAGATATTATATGTCATCGCGGTAACAACCAAGCATTTCTCTTTTCTTTTCAATTTTATCGTGCATATTTGGTTTATTTACAAACGAAAATAACGTCTGCTTTTAAGTGACAAAGTAAATTTAGTCAGAGTAATGGTCTTAAGATAATTCATTTTTGACTAGAGACAACTACTTCTAACGAGGAAACTCTTGAGGTTCAGGCTGCTTTTATCTTGTAGATCTTAGTGAGTAGTAAAATGTCCTAGGTTGGTTTGTGCCCATGGTGCTTTGTTGCTGAGATACTGGACTTTTAGTCAGTTTTTACTTACAGAATTTTCCTGCCTTGAGATATTGAGACTCGAAAACTTGACCCTCATTCTTACCTTCTGGTGAAATGTTCGAGTCTCAGTATCTCAAGGCAGGAAAATTCATTAGCATCGAATATTTTTTCGTCGTACTACTATGACCATGGGCTGCAGACGTGGCAAGTTTGAAATCAAAATTCGAAAGTCGGATTTTCCTCGAAATCCAAGCTCTATACGTAAAAACTGGCTAAAAATCCAGTATTTCAGCAACAATGCACCATGGACACAAACCACCTTAGGGCATTTCACCACTCACTAACGAGGGAACCTCTCGAGGTGATTAAAAGCTTTTCGACTCAGACTATTTTCGTCATGTAGGGAATAGTCAGCAGTGAAAAACCCCAAGTCGGTTTGGGTCCATGCACCTTTTTGACGGAGATATGAGTTAATTAATGAAAATGCCATTAATAATAATTAATTAACAGCTCACTACCAAGATCAACTAGGAGTCGGAAATTTACACGACAGTTGAAGATAGATGTTGTCTACTCACTGTGACACTTTTAGGCTTATAAACCAAAGCTTTTGCAAGATATGAACTATTTATGATTTAGACAGTTTTAGTGAAAATTCACCATTGAAAACCTAAAAACTTGTTATCACTTTTTAGATACCTCTATCGACTCAGTAAAGACTTATTTCATTTAGATATAGGTCCCTAAGAGCCGCTGGGCTTCTGCAGCGTGAACAGAGGTATTTAAAAGGTGATAACAACTTTTTAGGTTTTCAATGGTGAATTTTCACTAAAAACTGTCTAAATCATAAAAAATTCATATCTTGCAAAAGCTTTGGTTTATAAGCCTAAAAGTGTCAC